CATTTACATGGAATAACTTTAGCTCCTTTGGGTAGCTCACAAAGTTCCCAAGTTCTATTTTTGTTTAATGAATTAATTTCATTATTCATGGCATCATTCCAATATTTACTTTCCCTGCTTTGAATGGCTTCTTCGTATGTATCTGGTTCATGTACATCTAATAAATATGTCTCAGCCTGCATCACATAATCATCTAACTTCTTAGATTTCTGCAAGCTTGACCTATCTCTGAGTTGAACTTTAACTGAATTATCTATAATTTTCTCAGTGTCATCTGTAATTTCTTTTTTTGAATCATCATTTCTACTACTCGAGTCATTTTCTGATTTGCAATTGATTTGAGGATCTGTTGTAAAATCTTTTTGAGTCTGATGTTCAAATGATGTTGTACATTTCATAGGTTTTTCTTGGAAAACTACATCTCTTGAGAATATCATTTTATATTGATTTTGGAGCCATATACGATAGCGTTCGTCACCATCGTAACCAACAAGGTAACCTTTTATGGCTTTCTTATCCATTTTTTGACGTTTTTTGATCAGGTATGTGAACAAAACATGTAGAGCCAATTATTCTCAAATGGTTAATTCTCGGCTTTTTACTTGTCCAAATTTCAAATGGGCTTTTATCTTCAATCGACGACTTGCCTGTTCGATTAAGTAAATATACTGCAGTTGAACATAACTCAGCCCACATAGCGACTGGAAATTCAAAATCTGGATTTGAGTACTTCAATGTGCGTGCCATTTCTACTATTGTTCTGTTTTCACGTTCACTACCACCATTTTGTTGAGGTGTATATGGTGCTGTTAGTCTTTGCGTGATTCCATGGCTGCGCAGGATGTTTCGAACTTCTTCGTTGTCAAACTCACCCCCATTGTCACTCAAAAATTCTTTTACTTTATGACCTTGAGTCGCTGCTTGAGACAAAATATTTTGTAGTGTCTGTTTCACTTCATTTTTGTGTCTAAGAAAAAAATGAACCTCATTTTGCTGTAATGATCTTTAAAAACAACAAAATATCGTTTACTATTAAATGATTCTGTACTGAAAGGACCACAAACATCTGCTGATAGTAGTTCACCTGGTTTATTGGTTGCATTTCTCTTGCCAAATTTTAACCCATGTGCTTTACCATAGAGACATGGTTCACACAAATCCTTGTCAAGATGAACTTTAATGTTTAACTCCTTTTCTATAACATTCTTTATGTGACGTTTATCTTGATGACCAAAACGTTCATGGTAGAGCTGCACTATTGAATTTTCACTGACTATATTCACTTCAGCCGGTGTATCTGGAGTTATGAAATCAAGTTTGCCTCATACAAGGAACCATCTACTCGTCTTGTCCCTTGTACTACCACTCGGTTCTTTATACTGAGTTGACATTTGGTTGCATAAGATTCAAACTTGCAGTTTTTTGAATATTTATCTTGTGCGGCTAATATGTAAAACAGGTTTCTACCTTTATTTGGAACATACCAGACATCTGAGAGTTTTATATACTGTTGTTTGTTATTTACTGTTGACAGCATATTTATTTCGCCTCTACCCACAGCAGCAAGAACTTTTTTTCCTGCAGCTTGAACAGAACTTTGTGCGACAAACTTCTCAAAAGTAACAAAATTACCTGTATTGTTCGTTAGGTGCTTTGTTGCTCCATTGTCAATATACCACTTAGTGTTGTCTCTCAGTGTTTAATTACTGGCTGACGTGCACAAAACTACATTTGATGTTTCTTCATATGCTTTTCTTGGTGTCGCTGAAACATTTTTGGAATTTTTAGAAGGTTTTCCATCACTGACCCACTTTCTACATTGCTTAACCCAGTGTCCAGGTTTATGGCAATAGTTGCAGTTACCAACTGGTTTTGTCCTTTTAGTGAAATCTCTTGATTTGTTGAAACTTGGCTTTTCAACATTTACAACTAAGGCGTTCTGCCTTGATGATTTATCGATTGTGTCGAAAGTCTTTATCTCTCTTTCAAAAGCACAGAGATGAGTGATTAAATCATCTATCGACTGCTTTTCTTCACCTAGCATTAGCCAACTTGATTTGAAGTTTTGGAAACTATTTGGGAGAATCTGCATCGCTTTGCATACTAATAGCAGCTCTGGTAGTTTATTTTCTCCCGATGCCTGAAGCCCACTGTTTAATTCGTTCCATAAAGTCTTCAATCTTGCAATTTGGCCGGATACATCTACATCCGCTATCCAATTGAAATCGAAAAAATTGCTACAAACTTGGAACAGTTGGTCCTTAGTTGACGCTTCAAAATTTCTTTTTAATTTCTTCCAAACTTCAAACGCTGTGTTCTTGTCCATTATCTTTTGGTATGTATCTTCTGTGACTGCATTCGCAATTACTGATTTGGCATAACTGTTTGCCTTTCTAAACAGATCTGATTTATTTTTAAAATCTTTTGTCTGTTGCTCTGTTTGATTTTCTAGTAATTCTGGTTTCGACAACTTCCCATCAATCACATCAAGTGCGCCCTCATGGTAGTCCATGAAATCTCGAACACGACGTTTCCAAATGGGCCAATCGGCTGCGCAACTTAACTGTTTTATTTGAAGCTTTGAGTCCATTTTGAAGAAAAAAAAAATTGATGTTCTTGCTTCAACGATAGTTGGAAAAGTTCTTTTAGTCACGAATTGCAATCTCTTTCTTTTTTTTCAAAATAACTTTTTCTCTAAACAATTTATTAAGCGTTCTGGGCTCATAACCTGTTTAATTGTAACCTGGGCCCATATCCTGTTTAATATAAAAAACTTCTTTGTTTGTTTTTAATATAATTGTTTATTAAAGAAACGTTATTTGAAATATTAGAAGACACGTAAGTCGACAAAAAACGAAAAAAGCAGTGTATGCAAGTTAGTCAAGTTAGCAATAATATAAGATTGTCTGAAACTATGGAAAGTCATAAATATATTGAAACATATATAATATACATATATATTATTTCAATAGTGTTAATCGCCAGATTTTTTCCATCTTTGACATCCATTTTTCACATCTCAGGCAATCAAGAAGTTTTAAAAAAAAACTTCGACCGGCCAGTTATAACATTGGTGTCAGAAGTGGGATCTTTGGTGGATTATAGAGATGCACCGGATTCAGGTTTTTCAAATCCGGCCGGGGCCGGACTTGGCCGGATTTGAAATTCAAAAACCGACCGGGGCCGGAGCCGGATTTTAGTTACCATTTTACATACGTTTGAAAAAATATTCACATTTACGGTTATTTACATGTTGAACATCAAAAAATAACACCAAGCAAATAGTTATTTAATTCAAATATATGAATAAGTTGTGATACGCCAAATTCTGTACACAAAGATCAGCTTATAATTTATGCATATTTGCATAACCCAAGTTAAAGCACAAAGAAAATTGTCCAAGCTCACCGCACAATTAGTGATGTAATTGTGTCATGTTTACCTAGCCTAACCTTTAACATACCATGTTCTTAAATTATGTGCTTATGTATCTCTCTCTCTCTCTCTCTCTCCCTCTCTCTAAATATATATATATATATATATCTTTATATATATATATATATTATGTAGCTATATGATCCGTCATGTGCAATTATCAATATATAGTATATACACGTGCACAAGTTCTTTTACACAAAGATCAGCTTATAATTTATGCATAACCCATGTTATAGCATAAAGAAAATTGTCCAAATCACCTCAAAATTAGTGATGTTGTTATTATGTGTCATGTACGCCTTTAGCTTAGCCTTAGCCATTAACTTATTGACATAAAATTAATTGAATTCAATAAAATTTTTTTTTCTATTTCTAACATTTTTAAAAGTTGATAGACGCTTAAATCCGGCCCTAAATCCGGCCACCAAATCCGGCCGGGGCCGGATTTGACCGGATTTGAAAATAAAGCCGGATTTTGGCCGGAGCCGGGGCAGAACTTCGGTGCATCCCTAGTGGATTATAACATTTTTTTTCTCGTTGACAGGTTATTTTATAAAAAAAAACACAACATAATCAAACTGCATCAACTTAATTGGTTCAACTCAAAGATGAGTTTAAAAAGCGAAATCTTGCTACAAGTGGAAACAGTAGAGTTTTGATAGCAGATAGTTTTTAACCAGCCTAAATGGAGCCTTGTTTATGAAAATGAAAATTCAGATGATTTTAAGTTTGGCTATCAGAAGTTATCTCGCGAAATAGATAGGAGGGAGACGGCACCGTGTAGAGAAAGCACAATTGAATTTAGAAAAAATAAATATGCGAATTTTTATTTTTTTTTTTAAATTCAAATCCGTCTTTTGGTTGTCTATAACCAGGTATAAATTTAAATTCATGTCTTTGGAAGCGGATTTAAATAAAGTTCTTTGTTTGGATTTTGAAAAACAGAAAATTTTTGCATATCCTTTTTGATTTTTTGGAAAAAATTTGAGTGGTATATTTTATTATATTTTGCTCATTTTTAAATAAATTAATTTAAAATAAAAAAAAGCAAAAAATTAAATATTACACTTATATTTTTCAATTCATATCATCAATTTTTTAAAATTAAAAAATATTGGCACAACTTTGGGTTTGTAATAAATGCGGACATGAGATGGAGATGTCGTCCAAAAAAAACTTGAAAGACGGGGTAGGTGGTTTGTTGATGTTTCAACAACAATTGTAGGACAACTTTGTCAATCCGGCATTGGAGTTTTTTTTTCCAGAAGAGCAAACTTCTGATTGAAAAATATATCATGGTAAATGTACTTTAATATAAATGGATATTGATCAAAAAAATAAAAATTATGGCTGAATTCAATTATGTGAGTAATTTTTTTTAGATGACGTTCTACTGGTCGTTGAACAACATAGAACAAACAACTATATCAACGCTTTTGCAAATATCGCAACACTCCATAGTTGATTTGTTCAATTTTTTTGCGAGAGCTGTGTTTTTCATGGATAGCCGCTCAACCTATGCAAATCGGGGGTCCTGGTCACATAGTCCAGATTGACTCAAAATGGTGCTGCAAGACCTGTTCGCCAAAGATGCGTCTTTAGTGGAATTTACCAGGACACCAACGAATATTTGGAGGTACGCCAAAGACAAGTTCAAAAGAATGAGAGGGACATGTGATAACCACTTGTCTTCCTATTTGGATGAATTTATGTGGCATAGGAGCATTGCCAGAAATGAAAATAAATTTGAAAGGGCGCTCATTCTTATGAAGACATTTTATCCAGTTTGAGAATGTCCCAACAAAAGGCTCTTTACAGAGCAGAGATGGGCAAATTACACACTATATTGTAATTTCGATACAAATTACAAAATACTCTAAATATTGTAATTTCGATACCAGTTACAAATTACATTTAATAAAAGAGCCAAATTACTAATTAAAAATTACTAATTTCAAATTACATGAAATTAAATTACATCCAGCCAGTTTGAATAAATGAAGAGAAAATTTTTTTTGAAATTATTTAAACATTGATTTTTCTTTGCGCTGATATTCTTTGAAGTCATTTTTATATTTATCTATTAAGTTATTTTCTTTCTATCAACAATCTGTTCAATCATTTAACGAATTACTGAAGAAAGAAAAACACTATTCACCTCTACTCTTGATTTTGCATATCCTTTGATGTCATTTTCATATTCTTTTATTAATTTGCTTTCTTTCGATCAACAATTTGTTCAATCGTTTAATGAACGACTGAAGAAAGAAGGAAAGAAAGGAAGAAAGAAAAAAAGAAAAAAAAAAGAAGTGTCAAACATCAAAGAAGTAAACTTTTTTGATGTAGCTATATGACCATAAAACTTCAAAGCAGCAAATGAAATTTTTAATCAAATAAATTTTTAGAATTTAAAAATTTTTTTAGAATTTCAAGAAAAAAAAATTTTCAATAATAATAATAATAATAATTTGTGTAAGTATATCTGTTCACTCACATATAAACTATATTTTTTAGTCAAAATGTAATTTGAAATTACTTTGAAATTACCAAATTACGTGAAAGATGAAATTACTAAATTACAAATTACTTAAAAAGTAATTTCGATACAAATTACAATTGTAATTTGAATTACGTAATTTCATTACTTGAATTACATTACTGCCCATATCTGTTTCAGAGCCACGCAAGGGACTATCGTCAAGCTACGAAGTGCTTAAAATTAAATATAAAATAATAGCAAAGAGCCATTGTTATTCCTTATACAACCGAAACAAAGTTTTATTTTATAACTTTTTATAAGTTTGTTAAATAATTTAATTTATGCTAAGAGAATGGATTCGTTTTTCGATTATGGAAATTTTTCAATGCATCGTAAATTGCGTCGTAAATTATTATCATTTAATTATAAAGAGAAGATTAATAAACACCTATTTTACCAAATTGTAATTTAATTCTTGATACAAATTTTAAAATCTAATTTCACTTTTAAAGCTTTACATCTTTTCATCATTGTCTGTTTAGTTTCTATGCATGTAATAAATGACAATAAAAAAAAACTGGGTGGAGTTTAACGGCGTATTCTTCATGATTAAGAATAATGCTTTCTTAACACGAGGGTGTATATTCAACAGTTTTATCTTTTTTCATTTTGGGGAGATATTTTTTGTGCGTAACCACTATGTTGTACAGGATAGACCACCATTGTAAGTACCAAATGAACCTCGCATTTGTTAATAGTTACTTGAATCTATTCAATCAATCAATCAATCAATTAGCTTATAAAGCGCTATTTCCGCGATGTTCAACAGCGCTCCTCAATGAATTTTGAAAACAGATGGGTCTTGAGATCCGCTCTGAACTTCGCAAGTGATGGAGAAGTAGTCAGAGAAGTAGATAGAGAGTTCCAGAGAAAAGGACCAGAAAAAGCAAAAGCAGATTTGGCAAAAGAGTGTTTAACACGAGTTAAGAAAAAGCGAGAAGAAGAAGACGATCGTAAACCGGGGCGTTCAGGTTCAATTAATATATCTGATAAATACTTAGAAAATAATTTAGATTGAGACTTATACGTGAACGTGCAAATTTTAAAAATTATTCTATATTTTATAGGTAGCCAGTGCAAGAAAACAAGATATGGAGATATATGAGAAAAGAAAAAGGCACGAGCAACTAGACGAGCAGCAGAGTTAAAAGCTTTACTTAAAGGATAGAGTATAGAGTCAGGAAGACCATAGTAGAGCGAGTTACAATAATCAATCCTAGATAAGACTAACAAAGTAACAAGAAGGAAAAGAGTAGGATCATCAAGAAAAGGCAAAATTTTTTTTATTCTACGTAGATGAAAGTAAGAGCTTCTAACAACACTATTAATCTGAGAAGAGAGAGACTTTGTAGAATCAAAGATAAAACCTAGACTACGAAACTTATGAGAGACATCAAGAGTTTTAGAATCAGGTAAGATAATAGGAGGAATAGTAATAGAGTGTTTAGATTTATTAAAACAAATTAATTCAAACTTAGAATCATTAAGTTTAAGACACATAGAGTCAGACATAGAGTCATTACTAAATATTGATTTTTTTTCATTTTCAAAATTAATAAATAAATATTGGTTATGAATTTTGATTATTAAATAATATTTTGTTGCATTTTAAATTGTAAAAAAAAATATTAAATATCGAAATCTTCAACCAGATCTAATACAGTTCCTCATCAATTTTCGATTGGTCATCACTATTTATCACACATGGACCACTTAAATTAAAGGACCTAGGTGTAATTGTCGACAATAAACTCAATTTTAATTATCATATCAATGATATTGCTCGTAAAGCTTCTTCTCGTTCACGGTTAATCACCAGATGTTTTACCTCCAAGGACAAGGACCTACTTATTAAAGCTTTCTGCACCTAAGTACGTCCTTTGGCTGAATATGCCTCATCTGTGTGGAATCCACATTACAAATATCAAATAGACAAAATTGAAAGTGTACAGAGAAGATTTACAAAATCTATTCCGTTTCTACATCATCTCTCATACCTGTCTCGATTGCATGCGGTTGGAATGGATACTCTGGAGCGTCGTAGGCTGATTTCTGATCTATGCCTTCTCTACAAAATACTTCATAACCTCGTTCAAACTGACCTAAATAGTCATTTCATTTCATCACTGTACTTATCAACTCAAGGACATCAAAGCAAATTGCGTGATTTCAACATTAGTGACAACTCAACCAAATATTTCTACTGCAACCAAATCATTCGAATATAGAATACGTTGTCCGTAGATGTCGTTTCTTCAACCTCATATGCTCTCTTCAAAAATCGGTTGCGTTCTCTCGATTTAAATTAATTTCTAACTATTAAATAACTATCAATATTATGTTTTCTTTTTTTCCCGGATAATATTCATTTTTTTATTGTACTATTTCACAAGGATGTGTTATCAATGTCAACTATGATTTTTCTAATTTACTTTTTTTCTGTTTCGACGGGCATTTTATAGAACTTAGTTATTTTTATTATTTCTGTCTAGATAAGTGGTTATTATGAAACAGGAATTTTGACGGTTCAGGTTCCAGGACATGTGATAGCAGGTAAAGGAGAGCGTTAAGTTGGATCATTAACTAGTGCTGAAAGAGGAACATTAATTACAGTGTGCAATAGGAAGGCATCAAAACATCTAGAAAAAATAAAGCTTCAGAAAACTTATTTGATGAAAACGATTTATGCATCGTTTGTGGAGAAGCTGGGCGAGATAAGGAGATGTGGTATTGATGCCGAAATAGTGCATGGGCGCAAGAAGTGGGCGCATGAACTATGAATAAGCGCATTTAGTGCTTTGAATTACACTTGTTAATTTTTCATTAACTTAGTTTAAGTATATTTTTGTTTTATTTTATGTAGATTTAAAAAATTTTTCAAAAATTCTATTTTCTTTTATTTATTTGTTTTGCTTCATTGGTCCATTCACTACTTTGCTTAGTCGTTCAGTATACCGTCATGGTACTGAATGGACCATCATAAAAATTTGAACCAATTTAAAAATTAAAAAAATTTTCCGTAATTTGGAAAGATAAAAAAAATTTTGCCGGCTGCTCAAGAAAATAAAGAATCAAAATCAGTTATTAAAATAGTTGTAGGTGATTTCATTCAACAGTGAAAAAAGCGGCCCATCCATTCTCCGTCTCCGCTTAAATCAATTCAATCAATCAATCAATTAGCTTATAAAGCGCTATTTCCGCGATGTTCAACAGCGCTCCTCAATGAATTTTGAAAACAGATGGGTCTTGAGATCCGCTCTGAACTTCGCAAGCGATGGAGAAATAGTTAGAGAAGTAGGCAGAGAGTTCCAGAGAAAAGGACCAGAAAAAGCAAAAGCAGATTTGGCAAAAGAGTGTTTAACACGAGTTAAGAAAAAGCGAAACAAGAAAACAAGAACTGGAAGAAACAAAAAAATAAACTTCACGCCTGTAGACCACTAAAATATTGAAAGCGTCAACATTTGACGGAGAAACATCTTGGAACATTTATAAAACCCAGATTGAAGTAGCAGCAATGAGTTATGGCTGGAATAAAAAAATCGGACAGCGGCTCTTGTGTTAGCGTTACGAAGGTAAGCGGCAGAAGCTCTCCAAATAATTCCAGTTGAGGGCCATGAGGTCCTGGTAAATGCATTAAATTTACGTTATGGTGAAAACACATAGGCAAATATATTGATCTCAGTTACGAAACCGGACGCAGCGACCAGAAAAGTCAATACAGCAGCTGGCAAAAGATATTGAACGGTTTGATCTGCTGTCATACCATAAGTACAACCCACAAAACAGAAAAAAAACTGCACTGGAAACGTTAGTAAAGGCTGTTTGAGATTCAGATCTTAGACAAACCTTCACAAGATGCCGTTGCCTTTAGTCTCACATTTGAGTCAGCAAAACAAGCATCAAAGACTGACGCAAAGCAGCACAGAGATAGCAAAAAATGTTTGTGTCAAAGGGTAGTTCTAGAACAAAAGAGTCAGGATTATGGTGCGCCAAAATGCTGAAATTGTGGAGAAATTATGGCACTTACGACAAAATTGTAAAAAATGCCCTGGAAACAATTACGACAAAATTGTAAAAAACGCCCTGGAAACAATTATTGTCGTCATATTACAGCAATATGACATAAGCGATTAGAGGGATTACGTATCCTGATGTATTTTCAACATTGTTCAGAAAACCGATTATCATAAATAACCAGAATTTTGCGTGATATGGCATTAAAATGAAATATGATTGCTGTTTTCTTCTTCCTGAAAGCAAACTTTGCGGATGTGTAATGATAAGGACGTGTACAAAATCATTTAATTAAAGCCGATATTAAAAGACATTAAAATGTGGCGAAAATGGGGCTCAGACATTTAATCCGACCCAGCAGCACAGCAAGCAAACCTTATGCAGCTGCCCGAAGCACCATTTCAAGAGGATGCATTTTAGATAATTACAAAGCACCTGAATAGAAGACATTATTGAAAACTTCAATTAAGACTTTTGAACAAAAAAAGATGCAATAAAAACAAAAAATTTTTGTTTATTTTGTTTATTTAATAAGCGCGCTCATAAATCAAACTAATTAAAACTGAATTGAAATAAGTTAATGTCTTTGAAAAATTAATGTTTAAAAATAGAAATATATATGTATATTTTTTTATACAAGAGTGGCACAGATAAACAAGTTTTAGTTTGAGAATTTGTTACAGTAAATCGTTTGCATACATACATACATAGATACATATATACAGCCAAGAACGCTCGGGAAAAACCGAGTGACGCCAGGAAAGACTGGTGACTTCTGGAATGACAGATGACTTCTGGAATGACAGATGACTTCTGGAAAGACAGATGGCAGGTCGGAAAGACGATTAAGATCACGTTCGGGTTGGCTGCCCAGTGATCTATTTTACTAGCTTCGACATCCAAAGATAAATGCCTCTAGAGCTCCAACCGAAAGGAGGGGGAGAATGATGAGCTCAACGGCGTCTCAACTGGATCTACGACAACGCTCAGCTTAGACCCTATTGGCGGGAGGAGTCATCAATGTGTATGTGGAAGAAGTTTTTCAACAACGCGAAAATTGAAAGTACATCAAACCAAGATGTTTGCTATGCCAGAAATCGCCACGCGTGATTTCATTAGAAATCAGTAAGACGGCGGAAACTGCTCACCCGGTAGACAACCACAGTGTAAGCGATATCCCTGCGACCAAATGCAATATTCCCGTCCGGAAACGTGTAAAATTTTCTTCAGCTTCTGATAACGAAGCTAGATGTTTATCTGTTCAGTGAACTAAAATTCATCAGCACCAGTGGTAACTTACGATGTTTCACAGACATCCTCTAGTAAAAATGTGTGACAACCTTTGGGTACAACGAAAAGGTTGAAAAGCTAGCAAAAAAATAAAGGAGACAAAACGAGATAAATCTACTAAAAAGAGAGAAAAACGACTAAGGAACCAATGGAGGAATGCTGTCAGAGAGGAACGAGTTGGCCTGGACATACTCTGGGACGAAATTATGGCAAGATTGGCAAGTTTGCACAAAGCCGAAAAGATTTGTCAAAAAAAAACGTCAAAATAAAAAAATACGTCAACAAATTTATTTCAAACCCATATTGTTTTGGGAGAAATCCGGCAGTCTAAATGTGTGCAAAGACGATCTGGAAGAACACCTCAAACGAACTTACACAATCGAGGCAAAACAACTAAAAGACAATAATCTGATGATTGACAAAAAAAACCCAGAGCATGTGTTTCAACAAAATCCTCCTGCTTCATGTGAATTGAAAAAGATTTTGAGCAAAAGAAGAAACCGCTCTTCACCTTGGCCAAACGGTATAACTTATTTGGTGTACAAAAAATGCCCGTCTGTGCTGTCTCTACAAATTTCTGGTCAAAGCATGGCGTGGGAGAATTGTGTACAACAAATGGAGAGTTGCAGATGGTATTTTCTTTCCATAGGTAAAGAATTCAACGGTGCCTTCCCAGTTTCGACCAATTTCATTGGTCAATGTCGAATGTAAACTGTTCTTCGCAATCATTGCCAGTCGGATCAATAGCTTTCTGAAGATGAATAAATACGTTGATATTTCAGTACAAAAGGGAGGAATTCCAGGTGTTCCAAGATGCTTGGAACACACATCAATGATCTGGTAAGCAATCCAACGAGCAAAAACAAACAGACTGAGTGTTCACGCCGTCTGGTTTGATCTAGCAAATGCTTATGGCGCTGTACCGCACAATCTGCTATGGAAGTCGCTTCAGATGTTTCTTGTTCCTGGTAAAATTATCGACATTTTAAAAATCTATTTCAGCGGATTCAGGATGCAATTTACCACAAGCAACTTCACTACGGATTGAGTCAATTTAAAGGTAGAAATCGCTATGGGGTGTTCTATTTCACCAACCCACCCTGTTTGTTATAGCAATGCAAGTCATGTTGGATGCTGCAAGAGGTTACAAGGTTAACTTGGGTGGAGGTGTTTGTATGCCATCACTGAAAGCATTTATGGACGACACTACTGTTTTGACAATCTCAGCGCATAACTGTAGAAAAATTTTACAAACGCTAGATGAATTGATGGAGTGGAGCAAAAGGAAGTTCAAGCCGGAAAAATCTCGAAGCTCCTCACTGACAAAAGGCATTTCATTATTACAATTACCGGTCAAATGATTTTAACTTTGCTTCAAAAGTCAGTCAAAAGTTTGGGCAGGTGGTACCACTCATCTTTGAAAAACTCTGAAGAAAAAGGAGAATTGTTGAACTCATCTAAGCAGTACTTGGAGACCGTAGACAGCCATAATTTGTGTGGTAAGTTTAAAGTTTGGTTGACGCAGTTTGTAGTGATCCCAAAACTACTATGGCCTTTGTCAGAGTATGAGTTCAATCTAAACACAGTAGAAAAATTGGATAAGAAAATCAACCGTTATACCAAAAAATGGCTTGGTCTGCCTGCGGGTTTGACTTCACTTGCTTTTTATAGCCGAAGGACAGTTTTGAAACTTCCATTCAAGTTGGTAGTTGATGAATTCAAATGTGCCAAAATAAGTTGTCCATGGTTCAATTGACAACTCGGCAGACCCAGTTTAAGCCACAGTTGAAACGGGAAAAAAATGGAAAGTCAGAAATGAAATTGACTTAGCAAAACAATCTTTGAAACTTAAAAAAATTGTTGGAGCAGTGCAAAGCACAAAACACTGCGAAATTTGGAATATGGCTCCTCTCCGTTTGGCTTT